CCCACCCCTGCTTCAGAGGGTGACAATGCTCTCAGCACATTATCAGAGAAGGTTCTGGAAAGAGGCAGGGAAGAGAGGGAGGAAGGATGAGGACCTTCTAAACCAGGGAGCAGAAGAGCGGAGGCCAAGGTGTGAATGTGACAGCCGCCCCCACCCCTGTCCCCCGCTGCCCCGCCCCCCCTCAAACCTCCCCCCGCCCCTGTCCCTCACTGCCCACCTCCCCCGCTCTACCCCCGGAGGCCCAGCACTCACTGGCTGGCCGGCCTTGAGCCAGCGCCTCTCGGGGAAGGGCCTCCCGGCCAGGATGATGCAGGGCAGCGACACAGGCTGCCTCTCCAGCACCCGCACGGTGGGGGCGCCGCTGGCGATCTGTGGGGGGGCTGTGGGGAAGGACAGGGTGCTGGTCACACTGGATCCCCGTGGGCATCTGTGGGGACAGAGGCTCCACCCTCCCCGCCCCCGGGAACCTGCCCAGGAAGCTGGCTCCCCTCGGATACCGGGCCACAGACACATCTGTCCCAAAGGATGGGTGGTCATGGGGGGGGCTCCCTGGGTGTCCACCTCCCACCTCCCCGCCTCCCCCGATCCACCAGCGAACCGTGTCCCGTCACCAGGAGCTGGGTCTCCGCCTGGACCTTCCCAAAAACATTTTGTGCTTCACAGACATAAGGGGCCTGGTCTTCAGGGACCACACCTGAGGGGCAGGAAAGAGGGGGGCCTGAGTGTTGGGGGCCACGGCACGGCTCCAGCCCCCACAGGCTCGGCTCCCCGGCACAGAGGGAGCCCGTGCCACAGCCTGGCCCTGCAGGGGTCAGGTGGGAGGGTGAGATGGCGGAGAGGAGAGGGATGGGGGATGCCGCCGGGCGTGGAAGGGTGAGAAGGCCTCAACCTGCTCATCTGTAGAATGGGGCTAATTCACCAATACCTATGCCTTGCAGTGTGATTGGGAAAAGGGTCAATAAGATGACGTGGACACTGCACCCAGCATCCAGTCGCGCACACAGCACAGTGTAGCTTTAGCAGGGTGGTGATGGTGATGGGTGGTGATGGCTAACACCCATAATATGAAGCCCAGGTGGTAACACTGTCACTGTCGTTACTATGATCAGTTCAGGGTAGTGATTATGACTTGACCAGAGTTGCCCAGTTAAACATGACCCCAAATATCACCCACGGTCAGGGCTGGGCTCAGGGTCCTGCTCCCAGCCACCCAGACTGGGGCCACCCCGTCTCCCTGCCCACCCTCCCCAGGTCCAAGCTCTTACTTTCAAAAAACAGCACTCCGGCCTCGGGCTGCCTGGCCCTGCTGCCCCGGCCGGGCTGCAGCGGCTGGCTGTCCGCACGGCGCCAGGTGACGGTCGGGGGCGGGCGGCCTGCGGCCCGACAGGCCAGGAGGGCGCTCCTGCCCAGCTCCACGGTGACCTCCCGGGGGAGCTCCATCAGCCGGGGCGCGTCTGCAGGGAGGTGACCGGTCAGGGGACTGTTCCCCGCCTCCAGCCTGGCTGTGAACCTGGGGGCTGATGAGTCAGGGCCCCGAGGCCACCCTGAGCTGGGCGGGACCCACCCTGGAGCGCTCTCAGGGGCGTGAAGCTGCCCACGACTCAGAGGCCTGTGCGGGGCTGGCTGCGGGGCCACGAGCCCCTGGTAGAGACGCCTCGGGGAAGCCCACCTCGGAGGCCTGCAGGTCACAACCTGGCCGCAGGAGCCTCTGAGACCCGTCGCCCTCCTCCTGGCACAGGGAGCTTCCTTTAGCAGGTGTCCTGGACTTGAGCGACCATCTCCACGGCCCCTTCCGTGAACGCCACCCCAAAGGGCCGGCTTTGTGGGGGGTTGGCAGCCATCCTTAATCTCCTCTCTACGGCTCTCTGTTTGCGGGACTTGTTGCAATGAGCATATGAAACACTACTACAGAACCAAACCTGCTTTGTAGGAACAATGTGACCTTACGCTCTATGGTCCAAACGGGGACACTGGGAGAGAAAGTGGCTGCAGTAATAACGACACCAGTGGGGATGGGATGTGAGTGGGGAGGAGGAGGGGGGCCAGTGGGGGGGAATGCAACATCTGTAATACTTTCAACAATAAAGATAATTTTTTTATTTTCGTTATTTTTAAAAAATATATTTTTATTGATTTCAGAGAGGAAGGGAGAGGGAGAGAGAAACATCAATGGTGAGAGAGAATCATTGATCGTCTGCCTCCTGCACGCCCCACACTGGCGATGGAGCCGGCAACCCGGGCCTGTGCCCTGACTGGGAATTGAACAGTGGCCTCCTGGTTCATAGGTTGACGCTCAACCACTGAGCCA